GAATCCAGCAGAGCTTCGCCTCCAAATTTTCTAACCTTTTACAAATGAGCCACCCCTCTTCTATTTATAGGCAAATGAAAGCGGATCTGGGCCCAGATCTGGGCCCAGATCTGCCCGTGGCTCGGCCACCGAGCCACCCATGGGTGGCTCGGCTTTGGCCGAGTCGCCCGGGTGTGGTGCCGTTGTGTCCATTGTCCGGTTCTGCGGTTTATCTGAGCTTTGTCGCTGATCTGAACTCTGATTTGGCAGTCCGGATCCTGATTTGGCAGTAAATCCGCCTCGGTGTTCGAGTTCGAATCCATTCCATAGTTGGATGACTTGTTGACCCACCGATCCGTTAGCTTGATTCCGCACGCGAGTGGATGTATTCCGTTGTTTACGTGCGGTTCGTTAGCCTCGTCGCCTCGTTAATCCGCTTCGTTGCGTGTCACTTGGCTCCGGTGTTGTGGACTGACGCTCGTGTTTGGATATGTCGCCCGATGGTTCGTCGGTTTGTGCCGAGCCGTGCCACGGGACCTATAAGCAGTTTTATACGCCTACAGTCAAAGGTAAGAGTACGGCATCAAATTCATCTCCTAGAACCCTAAAGAATTCATCAATACCTTGTGGGTTCAACTTGGGATTTATGCCTTATCATTCTTCACAAGTTAGCCAAGGTCCTAATATTTGGAATAATTTCCAAATGTAAGATGCTAACTATTGAGGAATTGGCCAACAACCAATTTTATTCATGAACATGTTAAATGCTCCTCCAACTTTTCAACGTTAAAGTTATAGCATGGGTGAAACTCAGTCACCTAATCAACAATGTCAAAGTAACAAGATAAATGTTATTGATATTGATGGTGATGAAAGTTCATCCCCTAACCCAAAGAGGAACAAGAAAGCACTTGCTCATAAATCTAAAAAGAAAGACAATTGCAAGAGGAGAGTTAACCAATTATAGGAGAGTAAACATGATGATTTGCTAATTCCTTTCCTTGCAAAGTGTGTTAAAGATGGAATGAAGGTTGATAAGAAGTTAAAAAAAAACGCTTATCGGGGCGCCGCCTTTCATATCAATGAACAATTAGGTTCAACATTCACAGTCGAGAACATGGAAAACCGTATGAAAACTATCCGCAATAGATTTTTGGACATGCAAAAATATCGTAACTTGAGTGGTGTCGGTTGGGATGATGCGAAGAATATGGTAATTATGGATGATGCTTGATTTGATAGATGGCTAGAGGTATTTACCATTTTGTCATGTTCATTTTTGATCAAACATTTACCATTTTGTTCCTTCTATTTCACATATGGATTTGATATATGCCTAAACTATGCAGGACAAGAGTATGAATAGTTCTAAGCTTTGAGAATACATCAACAAGCCCATAAAACATTATGAAGCCCTCACAATTATTATTGGAGATGATGTCGCTAGAGGAGACTACACGGTAGATGTGTTGGACAAATTTGGTGGTAGTGCACATTTTAATATTGGTGATGATGAAGATGATATTAGTATGCCAAAGGAGAACACGCCTAACTATGACTCCTTAGACAAATATGATATTCCACCACCGAAGGTCCCAACTATGCCCTCAAAATTCAATCAAACTTCTAGTGTAAACAAAGCTAAAAACGACGTGTCAAATATGCGTAAAGGAATGGGGGGAGGTCTAGTGAGGACATAGTGCTTATGCGTGAGATAGTAAATGAGGTAAAATAATTCACATCATCTATGCGCATGGTGAGTATGCATTGGACCGAGAAGTTAGCAAAAGCTATATTTGCTCATGATTATGAATTTAACATAGAAATTATTGATAAGTTTTATCAAGAATTGTATGAGAATGAATCACAAGCTAGGTTGTTTATAGGGAGATGCAAAAGAAGGTGTTGACTGAGTTCATGAAGAGTCAACCTCTTGATTAGAGTGGTGGAAGGTTGGATTGGATGCTTTTGGGATATTTTTATAAAACTAGCTAATTATATCAATGCTTGTGTAATTTATTTTTCTATGTAAATGAACTAGATGATTGCTCATCCTTTTGCCTAACAACTATGGTATATGTATTAAACTTACATTTGTGCAAAACTAATGCTACTATCTCTATCTTCATGCATCTCAGTCATGACTCTACATGTTATATTGAATATTAGTTTGCTAATGCAAATTTGTTTGACAAGTTTACAAGTGGGGTAAGGTGAATGATTTCACCTCGATGAATTTAGAGTAACCTACATATTTCTACTTTGATGGAATTAAAGTTAAAGATGTATGCATATTTTGTGTTATGATGATGGGTTATTTTTAAGATATGCAGCTAAAGTTTATAACAATAATCTATTGGCGAGGCAATATATTGCAACTAACATTGCCATTATAAACTTCATGGCGAGGCAGATAATGAAGAAAAGGCATTTTCTGAGCACATTTTCTCTAATTTTTTTGAGATTTGGTTTCAGCTCTTGGGTTGGTTATGAAATTGGTTTCAGCTTAGACACTTTTCACTTGTGTGCATGGTTTCAGCCCAGCTATGTTTGGTTTTAGTTATTGTTTGGCCAACCAGTTTAGTTGTTGTTTGGCCTTTGGTTGGCATATTTCTAGTTTTAGTTGTGTGCAAACTGCACTGAATTTCCAGCAATATTTGTTTCAGTTGGTTGGCCTTTGGTTGTTCAACTATGGTTGGCGTTTAGTTGACCTTTGGTTTTAGTTATTGCTTGGCCTTTGGTTGGCCTTTGGTTTTAGTTCTGAATTTCCAGCCTTGCTCTGGTTTCAGTTTGGTTTCAGTTGTTGCTTGGCATTTGTTTCAATTGTGTGCATGGTTTTAATTGTTGCTTTGTCTTTGGTTGGCATATTTCTAGTTTCAGTTGTGTGCAAACTATACTGAATTTCCAGCAATATTTGTTTCAGTTGGTTGGCCTTTGGTTGGCCAGCTATGGGTGGCCTTTGGTTGTCCTTTGGTTTCAATTGTGTCCTTTGGTTTCAGTCCTTGTTTGGCCTTTGGTTTTAGTTCTGAATTTCCAGTCTTGCTCTGGTTTCAGTTTGGTTTTAGTTGTTGCTTGGTCTTTGGTTGGCATATTTTTAGTTTCAGTTGTGTGCAAACTGTACTGAATTTCCAGCAATATTTGTTTCAATTGGTTGGCCTTTGGTTGGTCAGCTATGGTTCGCCTTGGTTTCAGTTGTGTCCTTTGGTTGGCCTTTGGTTTCAGTCCTTGTTTGGCCTTTGGTTTCAGTTCTAAATATCCAGCCTTCCTCTGGTTTCAGTTGTTGCTTGGCCTTTGTTTCAATTGTGTGCATGGTTTCAACCTTTCTCTCGGCCTTGGTTTCAGCTCTTTGGTTGGTTATGAAATTGGTTTCAGCTCAGACAATTTTCAGTTGTGTATATGGTTTCAGCCTTGCTCTCGAGTTGGTTTCAGTCTTGGTTCAATCTTGGATATTTTCAGACTTGGTTTGACCAAAGTTAGTTTGGTTTCAGTCGAGTTGGTTTCAGACGAGTTGTGTGCTTGCCCTTACACTTACATTTGTATGATAGTTATGTAGTTGATATGTTGAGACTTTGAACTAAGTCATGAGCTATGTTTTATGGGCTGTTCTGAGCACAACTGTGTGCTTGCCTTCTGAATTTCCAGTCTTGCTCTCGGCCTTGGTTTCAACCTTGCTCTCGGCCTTAGTTTTAGCTCTTGGGCTGTTCTGAGCACAGTAGTGTGCTTGCCTTCTGAATTTTCAGCCTTGCTCTCGGCCTTAGTTTCAGCCTTGCTATGTTTCATGGTTGCTTATTGAGTTACTTATTGTGTTGTTGTTTCTATGTCGGTGAAAACTTAGTTGCTTATTGTCTTGTTGTTTCCATGTTGGTGCAAACTTGGTTTGGTTTGGTGCAAACTTGGTTTTCTGTTTCCAAATTTGTCAGCATTGGCTTTTGTTTCACATATTTGTGCTTTTGGTTTGGCCTGAGTTGTATGCTTGCCTTTGAATTTCCAACCAGGTAACGTCTCGGCCTGGGTCATAGCCATGGTTTGGTTTCAGTTGTGTTGGATATTTATCAGTTGCTAATCATTTTTGCTGTCATTGTTGTCATCCTCATTCTTCATGATAGATTGCCAGGCTTTATACCTTTGATTGGCCTTTGGCCTTTGGTTGGCGTTTGGTTTTAGTTGTTGCTTGGCCTTTGGTTTTAGTTATGAATTTCCAACAAACAATTGGTTTCATCTAATTTGTTTTTAATTGGTTGAAATGATTGTTATGTCATTGGTAATGTGATATTATGCTATGATGATGGTCGGATATATAATGTATGCAACCAAAGTTTATATAAGTAATCAATTGGCGAGACAATAAATGTAGCCAATATTGCTATTATAAACTTCATGGCGATGCAGATAATGAAGAAAAGAGTCTTTTCTGAGCACATTTTCTATAAATTGTGTTAAGTTTTGGTTTGATTTCAATCTTGGGTTGTTCGAGTCTTGGTTTCTCTCGAGTTGGTTTCAGCCTTGGTTCAGTTTTGGATATTTTCAGACTTGGTTTGGCCAAAGTTGGTTTGGTTTCAGTCGAGTTGGTTTCAGTCGAGTTGTGTGTTTGCCTTCTGTATTTTCAGGCAATGTGTGCTTACCTTCTGAATTTGCAGCCAATTGAGTGCAATACATTATATTTTGTGTGCCTCGATTTTTGATGTTAATATTTTGTCTTATATGGGTGGTAATCACACCATGATGCTACAATCAAGTTTTCTTGATTTTTCAGTTTGAACCAAACACTAGAAAATAAAAGAATCTATTTACACATCAATTGTTTTCTTCTTTTTTCAAGTTGAACCAAACTAAGAAAAGTGGTAAAAAGTACTCTCAGCCCCTATTTTTTGGCAAAACAAACACAAGAAACACTTTCCATGAAAATAAAGGAAATACAAAAAAGTAAAGGAAAATCGTTTTTGAAAAATGAAGTAAACGAACCAAACAGATTTTACCCGGTGAAAACGAGCAACCAAACAGCCCTAAGCAAAAAAGAATCATGGTGGTCAGTAGCTTTTCAACTCATTCAAGGTGCTTTTTGCAACAGAACCTCATGCAATAATACACCAAAAATAACCCAACAAGTTCAGAAAGTTACAGTAGTTGAACAAAGATCCTTTTTCCGTCTAAATAAAGATACACCTAGCTCACTACATATATACATAGCTAAGATCAAACTATAAAATCAATCACTAAACAGGCGCTTCCCCTTCTGTTTTAGAGAATTTTCTTGTCTTGACGGAGAGCTTTTCTCTAATGAGTCCTCAACAATTGCTTCTTCCTGTATTACCAAGCCACGGTTTCGAGTGAGCTTCCTGATTGGAGTAACAGAAGCAGGCTGAGACTCCGCATGCACCTGATCTGATTGTGAGCTGCTACCGCACGTGTCTCGGTTGATCCTATGTGGCATCAGCTCTTCTCCATGAGCAACAGTATTCTTCATTAACTGCAAAAGATGTTATTGTACTCAAGACACAATTTACGACTCCCAAGCTGTGTAAAATAGGGGCGTGGCTGCTCTAATTAGAGTCATGATACATTTATTTATGGGTTAATTGCGGATAGATCCCTGTTCTATCACCCAATTATGGATGGGCCCCTATAGGTCGATTGTCGCCAATAGACTCCTTGAGTGATTTTCTTTTTAGTTGTTTACCCTCAAAGAAGAGAATTATTTTTATACTCATCGGGGTCCATGTACAACCATAGAACTGCAGGGGGTCTATCTGCAATGACCATTTATTATCACTGAAGTTCAAAAGGTCATTACTTTCAATTCCTTAAAAGTTATATATACTCTTGACAGAATAAAGGACTTGAATATTTAGTTAGAAGATAAAGATGTGAAAATGACAAGGTGAAAACAGAGATATAGTCGTAATAAACCTCTACCAGATTTTCCGGAAAGTACCTTCCAGTCCTTAAAATCGTATCTGAAAACAAAATGGTGGTAAGATACATCCCCCGAGGATACTGCAGCAGCTGAAGGAGCATTCTTCGGAGCTGAAAATTTTTGAACGAGTCAGTGAAACAGAACTCCAGAAAATAGAGTCTAATATTATATTCTGTGGCGATAATGAGAAACTCACAAACAAGATGATGCCCGCTATCATCAATACTAATTTCAGCTCTACCATCTTTTGCCAGAAATGATAAAGCAAAAATATTCTCTACAGTCTGTGCAAAAGATGTTCGATTCAATACTAGATTTTCAAGCCTTACACTTCTCTTCCTTCTCAAGATATCAAACATAGTTGCCATGTTCTTGTCAGTATCTGTTTTTGATTCCGGCTCGGCATCATCAAGCTGCACAAACAAAAGATGTGTCGTTTGAAATAATATGTACTACATAAGAAAGGATGTTCAAAATATCACTCCATCTGATACACTCCTTGTAAAGCGCAGACATACAGAATAGAGGTGATTAAAAAATCTGATGAGATGATATTGAACACGGAGTTATTAGTAAAAAAGAAAATAAAAAAGATCAATTGTAAAAAGGGAATTTTTCAAACCATAATTTTCAAATCCTTGTGAAAAACAAGCATAAAAATTAGCATTAGTTGTAAATAATCAGTAAATACACAATACTTAGCTAGAGCATAGGTTGTACGAAGTTAAATGTAAAGATATTATTAATACATAATAAATTATAAGTTCTTATCACCATCGCACCTACCAACTAGACTAATTCATGCATGATATTGAGAGTGATTGTTAACAAAAATGTTAATTATAACAACATATTTCTAGTACTTGAGAATCTGAGATAACTAGATATGTAAAAATTCACAACCTGTAAGTAAGGATAATGCGTGCAGATAGTAATAGAGAGTTTGACTTGAGTAGGAGGAAAACAAGATAAAAATTTAATAAGAATGAATTTTTCATGCTTTAGACTCGATTGGCTGCTTAAACAACATGATACAAAATAAACATGGACAAGATAAATTTAATCTCCGCATTAGCAAACATAATACGGAATATTTAAAATATGTGATCTTCAATGCATGACATGATCTATAATGTGTAAAAGCTTTAAGCCCAATTGATTTTGCTTAACAAAATAAAAAAATGAAATAATTGCAACAACCTTTGATCATCGATCTAGAGCTATATGTTGCATGGGTATGGGTACTGGTACTGGTATGGGTATAAGTACGGACACAAAAAATTTGCAGAAGTTATGGTACGAGGACACGGCGGTATAAATATTTATATATATATATATACACATATATTATAAATTAGAATTAATAACTTATATGAGAACAAGGATGAGAACTAAAATTCCTATAATATTTTTATGTTTCTTTTATTATGTGCATTATGAATTGGAAAATCACTATTTTTTAACTGGACATCCAAATGACCCTTCAAATCATTACTCGGAACCTGACGTATGTCTCGTTATAGTTTTGAATATCTGTTGTTCTCATCCTAATTAGAGTTGGAATAGAAGTCCTAAGTCGGAGTCCATTACACCTTATCTATTAGTTTGAATTTCTTGGTAGATAATATATCCTATTTAGATTAGGATAAATTTAAAATCAGAGGTCTAAGCGACTGCCCTTATCTCCACTTGCTGTGAGATTTACCAGCTTGTCCCCTTTTCCAATTCAAATGTATCTATTATCATCATAGAGGAAGATGTATACATCTACGTTGTTGCCCGTCATTTAAAAGCTTGCCAACAAGTTTCAGGAAGTGGATGTGAAGTGTAGAATACATGTCCAAAAAATGTATAACAAGTATTTTAAATTAAAACATGCATTGTATAACTGACTACATGCCTGAATAAATATATGCATATATGCATGGAGTGTAAAAGGAGTTTGGGCATGGGCGCGGGTACATTTCGGGTACGACTTCAAACTAGAAGGTAACATAGATCTAGAGCAAGCCAATTTTGATAGAGAAAATATTGGTCAGTTAGATAAATGGATGAGTATATCCATGAGAATAATGAGGAATAGGATAAAGATTGAAAGTTAAATGGAAGAGAATCACAGGTCACAGAAGGAAAGAAAAGCAAAAAAGAGAGGGACACAACTACAATAATAAACTTACAGTGAAGTTACCAATTAGATTTTACATAAGCAATTGATATTCCTTAATGAAAACAAGACAGAATAATAAAACTCTAAGTGGTGCATCTGTTAGCTATATATTTCATATAACAAAAGTAGCGTATTTAGTTGATTTCAATTATCAGTCCAGTTTTTTCCCATGACCTTCATATAAATTACTCGGAAATGCCTTACATAAGGAAACATAACCAGAAAGGATAAAAGCTATCATCCAAACCAATTCGAATAAGAATTAGGTGTAACTAACCTCTTCAGGACGAGTGCTTGTAGTTGGCCTTGACCGTTTCCTCTGAACCACAGGCTTGCGTTGTTTTATCTCAGTACTCATAGGACCAACCCTAAAATCATTAGATACAGCAAAACAATCCAATAGATAAAGTTAATGTAGGAACATTAAGATCCCAATAAAAAGAAGTAAGAGATGAAAGAAGTTGAGCAACAATAAGAATCAATTTCTAATTACTTAGCAACTGAGAATTTCTCACATTGTGCAGCATCCAGGAGCCTTTTTGAAAATATCTGATGCAACAACCCCAACATCTAGCCAAGAGACCATGTTGGGAGCATTATCAACAACTGCTCCACCATCTTGTTGTCCAAAGTTCCTTAATAGTGCAGTTACAAAATCTGATGGATTTATTCCACCATTGCTTTGAGACTTAACAGATGTTACCAATGTATTCGCAATGTCCAATAAAGCCTCTGCATCTGCCACTTGTTCTCTAGGCTTTTGAACTACGAACAGTAAAAGAACAATGAGTATCATAGAAGTTTACTATGATTTAAAAAAGTAATCAGGAACCAAGATTATTTGTCATCTTGAAATAATGAGGCATTGCCTTTATTCAATAGGGAAGCATGACAAAACTTTTGATAAAATTTGTGCTCATGTTCTCATCCAAAAACAAGTCACAAAGTAATACCGAACCGTATAATGATCGGTAGATCATAATTCATGTGACCACACACACATAATCAGAGGGTTGTTGAGGGAATCCATCTGAACACATCGACCATGTGACAGCCCTATAAAGTGTCTTTGTCACGGTAATGCAGGGGTTACATGCGCTTGTATTCCAATAATCATTTTTTATTAACAACATGAAATACATCAAGAGAGTTAAAATGACTATAGCCTTGTAGTTATAGGACAAGACATGACTGATATTTAACAACAATATTAAAAAAAAATTATGAAGTATCACTACCGTACTATTGTTCCTATAATGTTTCTTCAAGAATATCTCAAAAACAGGACGATATAAAAGAGAATATATAAAATAAAGGATAATCAAAATTCACCAACTCCACTGTTGAGCTCTTATTCATTAAATGCAATATTCACATCAGAGGAAGCTAGTTTGAGTAAGATGTGAACTAAACTGGTTGAAGTCGAATGCAAGACTGTGTCGATTAAGGATGTATTCAGCGTGTAGATTTGCTAAACCAAACCAGCTTTAGAAAATTTCCAGATTTTACTTCTACGAATTAAATCAGAATTTCTTTATATTTTATACTCATGTGGCGCTGGCAAATATTAAAACACAATATTGGTCCTCTATTTAAGCTTTAGTTACAGGACTTCAGAAGGTTGCAGGTATGGATTTCAGATTTTGGTTATACAAACATTTGATAACTATCATTCAAAATAACTAAACATAGGTACACTTGTAAAGATAACAAAAGTTATGGGGTGAAGATGGATAAAAATAAACCAAAAAAGAATAAAATGAAAAAAACCCTCAAAATAAAGGACTGTTATGAGGGATGGGACTGAAGGATGGGATCTTCTATATGAATGAACAGATGGAAGGTAGTAAGATGATAAAAGTAGAGCATTAACGTGACAAAACATTTTAAAGAAAGAAAGTACTCAATCAAAATTTATTTAAATAAAGAATGTATCCATATAATAGTATAAGTAGTTCAAACATTTCAAATTTATAGTGTGTGATTCGATTACACTATAATTGGATTAACACTAAGCAAACTAACCTGCAATAAAAACCCACACTATTCATAGGTCTACTGCATAAACTCTTAAAAAGTAAAGGAAACATATATCTAAAGAAGAGAATGGTTCTAGTATTGAAAGGAATGCAAAACTTAGTGAATGCACTTGATTTTGTTTAAGAAATGCATCATATTAAAGAAAAAGCCAAAGGAGGATCAGCCCGCAATAAGACATGGATAACAACAACAACAAATCTTAAGACATTAATTTAACAAATATTAAGAAATGGATGGTTCTGAGATTTGTTCTTCGGACAGAACGTTTTAACAAATCTTATGATCACATTTAATATATAATTGCTATCTCCCCTATCAAGTATGGTTGTTAGAAAAGACATCTTTTACGCCAACCCTCTTCAGCTTTTCAATTAGAGCAGAAGAGGTCTATAACTTTGGTTTTTATTACTTGTGGGAGAAGATGCCAATAATGAAGGACAAAAGGGAGCAGGAATCCAATGACATGATGAATAAGACTAACTGCTGTGTCACTAAATCAAACCAATATATGGATATCTGTCTAGGAGGAGGAAATACATTAAGAGATTATCAGAATCTTTCTTTACATTATCTTCAATATAACTATGTAAAGTTACAAATCCAAAGCATTCTAGTACTTTCTTAACTAGACCAATGCACATATTAAACCTGAAACAGTTGTATTAAGTAAAATCTCTCACAAACACCCAACAGTAGTAGCTACAGAATTTTGTTTCACAGCCAGACTAACGGTTGTGACTATCAATTCAATAGCAAAACACAATTTCACGAATTAAAAGTATCACTAAATATAAAGGAGTTGTCTTGCTTGCAACTTGAGCTAACTCAAGAACTTGAAGGATCCACTTTTAAGTTTTAAATTTGCCAAATTCCCGCTCTGAGTTTCACCAAAATTTCAGCTTCAAGGATACTAGAGGCAAATGAACTGAAAAGCGTCGGGAAATCCATTTCAATCATAAACATTCCCAGGCCTCAAACAGATGATTTATGATAATCAACTAGCAGGAAGAATTCTCCATCCTGGAGATAAGTATCGGCTGACATTTAGCCGCAGAGATGGCAGAACTGGAACTGGGTCAAAATCTATTAACAATTAGAGGAATTGCATTAAATTCTGACTATTTAAAATTATTAACCCAACTTGGCAGGCTCCAGCAATCACTAGACGTTTAATTAATCAGGACACATGAAAGATTTTGCAATCCAGGAATTTTGAAACTTGAAGCACTAAACTAAGCATGGTGATAAGTAAAATTATATAACTATGAAATGAAATCAGAAAACCCCTTTTTCATAAACTAAATACTAGAGATGACTCCCTTACAGCTTAACTGCACAACAATTTCAAACAATTTTGTATTTAATGCTCTACACGCTCAAATTTACGGAAGAAATCATTAAAAGAAAATAAAGTATTAAATAAAATCTCACCAAACTTATGCAAACTTTCAACTTGGGTAATAATGGAACTGAATTTATCCGAATCAACTCTAGTAATATCCTCCCTTTCATCTGCAAGTCAAAAAATTCGTCCCAATTTCAGAAAACAAAGAAAGAGAAACCAAATTCTATCGAGCAATTGAATCTTACATACCGCTGATTAGATTCTTAACAGCCAAGTATTGAGATCGAAGCGCTCTCCGATCGTGCGCCTCTTGACGATTTGATCCACTGCCGTTCTCTCCCTCTCCTCTTCTTTCTCTGGTCACCGCCTCTTTCTTCAAAGTTCGGACCATTGAACCCTAGAATTGATTCAGAAGGGAATTCAGCCGAGATTGGGAATTTCAAAAACCCTAACCCTAACCCTAACCAGTGAAAACCCTAATAAACGCTTGCAAATTTTTTTTCCCTTTCCCGCGCGCGGTCGTAGCAGAAAAGTTTCAGGAATTTAGCTTGCCGCTGGAATCTGAGCATTTAGTTTAATTTTTAGGTTTTTTTTCTCGATATTATACCTCCAAATCAATAGTTTTAAAGGCAATTTTCATAAAACACCCTGAATTTAGGTGTCTGTAACGAGAATCCAGGAACTTGAGAATTGGAGGAATTCTCCTAAACTTTGGGGGTTTTGCACAATCCCCTGGGCATTAACAAGTGGAGACTTTCACAAACCCCTTCTATATTTCTAAGAATTCACGGCCTAATAGCTAGTTTCGTATTACTTTTTAGGATGCTTATGCTTATTTTTTCAAGAAGTAACCAATAATCATGTTTGGTGCAAAAAGGTTTAGCATGCAAATTGAAATTGCTTCTACTTTTAAAGAGATATTTTTAGAAGCAACTTGAAGATGTTTCTAAAAATATCTTCTACTTTTGTTTTAGTTTACATACCATATATTATTTGTATCTTTTGATAATGATCATTAAGCGCGCTTCCAGTGAACACCTTAACTGCTTTTTAAACAATTTTTTATATTTAATTACCAAACTGCTATTTGCAACAACTAATATAAGTTGTTTTTATAATTAATTTATTATAAGTTCCAACAATATCATCAGGTTGGTCCTAATTCTAAACTTTGGAATGAAAGAGAGATAGTAGAGGACATGGAAAAATAATTAGGGGAGAACTTTTTAGAGTAAATTTTACGAAATCCACTAAACTCTGGGGTGATTTACACTAGATCCCCACCAATGAATTTTAGAAACTTAACTAAAAGCCCCTAAATTTTGGAATACTTCATAGAATTCCCTTAATTTTCGCAGTGGTTCACATAACCCATGATACTCTTAAAAAATACCCCTTGGTCCACACAAAAATGTGAAAACAGCGAAGGAATTTGAGAAAAACGTGAAAAATAAGCAAGACAGGCTCCACCATATCCTAGTGTGGTGTCTGTCACACCGAGGTGGTAGAATATGTCCCTGTTGACATGGGTGTGGTGTCTGCCACACCCAAGTGTGGCTGAATCTGCCATGTTTTCAGGGGTGTGGTGTTTGCCACCCCCGGGTGTGGCAGACTCGTTTTTTAGAATCTCAACCTGTTTGGAATTGTGTTTTGTTATAAATAGAGACACGTTTTTAGGGTTTCTTTGGCTTTGATTGAGCTTTGATTAAACATTGATTTGGGATTTGGAGCACAGAAAAGATGTATTTTCTGAGCTATTAGTTAGGATTTTATTTGGAGAGAATTAGAGATTTGTTGGTGAGATTAGTTGGTTGTTTTAAGTGATTTGTAATCTCAGTTTGTATTCTTTTTCTCTATTAGTGAAAACCCCATACTCTTCTTGCCTCGTGGACGTAGGCAACATGCCGAACCACGTAAAATTCGTTTGTTTGTGTTTGTACCGTTATCTTGGATTGTTTAGCCTTTTATCTCGAGTTTGGTTTGGTTCCTCGAAGCAAAACAATTTGGCCGCCGCGCACAACAAATGGTATCAGAGCTCGGGCTACGCTTGGGCTATTTGGAGGAGTAGATCGCTTTGGAAGTTCGTCTAGGGCTTTAGTTGATGATAAAAAAGGTGAGATTTTTACTATTGTTGATCTTGTCTACCATCGTGTGGGGGTGAGATTTTTCGGAGGCTTTTATTAGGGTTCCAATTGGAGGTAAAAATCTCTCTTTTCAGTTTGGATTTATTCTTCGTTTGTTCTGCATTGGTTTGTTGGTGCTTTTGAGATAGATGACCGAGTAAGAAGGAGTTGTTGATGGTACTTCTGACGTGAAAACCGTCCAAAGTTTGAATATCCATTCTATAAAGATAGGCATAGAGAAGTTTAATGGCACAAATAATTTTGGTCTTTGGTGATGCGAAATCTTGGATACGCTCAATGCACAAAATTTGGAGGATACATTGGAGTTGGACGGGAAACCGGACGACATTAAGGAAAAGGTTTGGAAGAAGATGAATAGAACGGCGTGTGGTGTGATTAGATCTTATTTGACTCAAGATTTAAAATATGATGTGATCAATAAGACTTCGGCTAAGAAGATTTGGGATATCCTTGATGGTAAGTATTTGACCAAAAGTGTAGAGAACCGCTTGCATTTGAAGAGGAGATTTTACTGTTGAATATCATATCTCCAAGATATTATTTTGATGATAACAATTTATACTATATGTGTTATACAAATACACTAACATTTAAATGCAGCTTTCAATATCAAATATGAACAAGTGCAAGATGAATTTAAGGCATTATGAAGTAAAGAAGATGAAGAACATATACATCAATATAATTTTTCTTTACTTAGAAATATTGTACAAGCAATGATCACTCACACACACACATAGAGATTAGTACACAGTAACATAGGCTTAGTGTGTTGGTTAACAATAGAAATCTCCTATGTTAATCATTAGAGTATTTAGTTAATCATTGAGTCTAAAAATATTTCATACATAACATTTTCACCCCTTAATAGTCGACTAATTAGTAATTAGAATAGTAGTCGACTACTGAAGTCTAACACCGAAATATAAGTTTCTGTAAAACTACAGAGTAGTCGACTTCTAAGCTTTGAGTTTTGATTTACAGAACTTCTGTTTTACAGAATAGTCGACTACAAGTAACTATAGTCGACTATTGAGCATTGAAATCTATATTATAGAACATCTGTTTTACAGAGTAGTCGACTACTAAGGATTATAACCGACTACTCAACTTCAATTTTTGATATTAGACATCATTTCTTACGTGATCATGTGCTTAAAGGTGATATTTCAATAGAATTTATACCTACTGATAAACAAATAGCAGATATATTAACAAAACCTTTAAAAAAAGAAATTCATGTTAAATTAAGAAGGGAATTAGGTATATGTTCAATTGAAGATTTAAATTAAAGTTTTAAAACAAATACATATGCATACACACCCTTTATAGTCGACTAATTTGACCTATAGTCGACTACATGCACAAGCATTGCATATAAAATGTTCTGTAAATTGCAGTGTAATCGACTAATTTGACTTATAGTCGACTACTCTGTGTTAAAATCTAAAATCAACTTTCTGTCGATTACAGTTTAGTCGATACTTTCCTTAATAGTCGACTACTTAAAACAAATTTTACATATTTTTAGTTTGTCACGCCCCCGCTTCCCAAAAGATCCGGGAATCGGAACGTGAACAAGCCCGCGACGTATTAGATTAAGGAGAATAAATAAAATAAACTTTTCTCCTCAACCTAATACGCTAAGCGTCAAAAAATAAATATAATGCGAAGTCACAGGTTCCCGATCACAGTAGCGAGAATATAATGAACAACACAGAATAAAATAATACATATCACAAATGATTATCATCCAAGACATAATATTCGGGTCAACATGCCCTTATACAAAATTGAACAATGAATACTGAAGAAATGTAAACTACATCGTTCAAGCAGGAATAGAAAGAACTACAAAGGTAAACTGGAACCATCAACTAATAAATGAAAAGAACGGGCTTCGACTCCTTCTGCTCCATCTACAAGGCACTCCTGTTGAGAATCCTCTGGCTCCTGCTAAACCTGTTCTTCCTCTAAGTCTGACGTACACCAGAGAAAACAGGTGTACGTCAGCGTACATGGTACATAGTAAGATCCTACAAAACAAATAGAGCGAACGAAAACCCAAACGGAAAACGATACAACAATAGAAATGATAAAAGAACGTGCAACTGAAAATCCAACAATCAACATGCGAAAACACTACTAAAATATGATAAACATAAATCCAACTACCTACGATAACCGGGTCAAGTACTAGCCATCCTAAAACTTACCGGTCCACCTCTCACATATAGTCAACGCTCATATCAATGGATAACTGACTGTTCACAAATCTCCTACGTGCATCCAATCCCGCTACACATGCGGCCAGAGGACTACACGTAAACTATTTTCTGTCTGGTCCGAACTCAAGCAAAACTCGAGTGACGAAACGATTCCACTGACTAAAGTTATGTACACACTTCACTTTAGCCCTGCAAAACAACCCCAGTGGCGACACCAACCACTGGCGCGAGCCTGGACGATACATCAACAGTCTTATCTGATCACATGAACATGGACTTTCCCATCCCAACTCTCTTGTATTTTCTAAATCAACCATAATCCTCATTGAAACTCGGGTTCACCACCTAACTCAGTCAACGTACACACATGTGTCACTAAATCTTGTTCATGACGCATAAGACCACTAAGTCATGAACTACTAATGGTTCTCAATCAAAACAATGAGATAATAAATAAAACTAATTTCATACCACAACATCATGGCATATCGAATACAGCAAAATATTCATAAAACATGAAATGTAATCATGAACAACATCTATGTAATTCAGAAAATAATTCATTTTATAAAATAATTTCTTTTAAAATTATTTCTCATTATAATAATCCAAAATATTCTCTTTTCCAGAATAAACTCTTTAAATTATTTTCTCATATACTAATTCAACATAAACCCTTTTTCAAAATAATTTCTTTTAAATAATCACTTATTCCAAAATAAACTCTTTTAAATAATTCTAAAAAAAATTCTTTAAGTATTCTTTTCAATATCCTCTCTTCCAAAATAAATTATGTTCTCATAATAGTTTAACAATTCAAAATAACCCATTTTTCTAAAATAAATTATTTTAATTTATCTATTTTAATAATTATTCAAAACCAATTCCTTTTCCAAATAATCCCTTTGCTCATCATAATAATTCTAAAACATCTCAAAATAATCACTTTTACACAAAATAATTATTCCTTTAAATTACTTATCATAATATCATTATTAATATTAATCATCCACAAGCCCCCGTAGATAATATCAATATTCATATGATAACATAATCAAATCACAGTCAGATCAAAGCATGTAATTAATTCATATTATATCTAAAAAAAATAAAGCGACGAGTCAAAGAGAAAGGGATCTTGCATATGGGTTTCATCGAACGAGTCGATGTCGACGTGCGAGTCAGATCTGGCGCAGGCAGCGGGGGAGACGGGGCTGCTGGT